AACGAACAGACATAATAATGATTTGAATATTTTATACAGATCAATGCTGAAGGCAGTGTGGATGATATATTCGTAGAAGTTTCGAAAGCATTAGACGCCTTGTTAAAATAGAAGAATTTCTCATATAGACCCTTGTATAAAACCGCCTAATCACTCGAATTTTTGGAAAGTCTACAATTAAAATATGATATAAATGTTATATCGATCGAGATGTAACTTGTATAAGTTTATAAAAAATTTATTTAAAGTATTGATAGTTTGGCGAGCAATAACGTATAACTAACGACAAAATGGTGCATATATGTACAATTGCAAATTTGGAGTACCTGTTCTTGTTAGCAATATATTGTATAATGGATTAAAACAGAAGTCTATTTATAAAGCAATTCGATATCTCGTAGAAAGTACCTGCAAATACTGATTGTTATAATATTGTTCATAATTTTAGCAATTGTTTTGAATAATAATAATTAATTCTATATTTTATGATCTTGGTAAGTTCATTTTTAAAGAAACATTTCCTTCCTCCAATTGAACCTTTGTAGAAACATGTTCCAATATAATTTATCTTACATTAGATTTCAATACCTGTCAATTACATAAATTTGAATTTCGTTTGTATTGTGCACAATGTACACATATTATGTTGACGTACAAGTTAATTTGCTTTATCCGACAATCCATTGTGTTTTCGTACTCGATTACTGAGATTATGCGAGTTGCAAAAAAAAATCATGCACATTCAAGCAAGCATTCAATTGAATAAGATTCTTTAGTGAATTAAAAAATGAACAAATTAATTCTAATTCTATCATACTTGGTAGCGTGTTTAATATTAAACTTAATTATGTGCGATAATTGCTGTCAGATCAATTCACGGCAATTACCATACTACAAATTAGTGAAATCTAACGCCCGTTCGAATCAATTAATACTGTCAAGAAAAATGGTCCAAAATGTGAACGAATGTAGAAACTTCGCTTCGATCAAGAAAGCTTTGGCATTTAATTATGGTATAGAAGATGATGATTACGGTAAGATGAAAAATATAATTGAAAACATAACTGATCTACATATGAATATAAATACTCACAGTTTATTGGTAATAATATGAAAGTGTATTAAAGTGTACTAAAGCTTTTATTTCTGTTCATATAGAATTGAATATTGGCATTCAGAACAAAAGAAGAAGAAGAAAAAGGAGAATGTGCCAAGCACTTGAATGCCCTGAAATTTACAACTTTACTACACTTGTGAAAGATAAAAATTATAAATATTACAGCACATATCCAAGCATTATATCAACTGGTAATAAAAATGAAGAAAAAAAATATTGAAAATATATTTAACAGAAATTGCTTTTAGGTTCTAACTTTACATTGGCCTGCATCCCTAAAGCAGGAATATTTGTATTTTCAAGCGATAACTTGAATTACAGCCAAGCACAAACAGCTTGCCAAAAAATAAATGCATCACTTGCTCACATAATTAGTGAGGAACGTACTAACGGGGTCGCAAAATACATTTTGCCAAACACTCCTACTTTTATCGGACTCAGTAACCGTAATGATGAAAAAATTTGGAAAAACGAATTTGGTGTAGTATTACATATATCACGTTTAAACAAAATTTATATACAAATTGAATTTAAAAAATTTTAGTATTTAACATTTTCCTTGTAAATTTTGAAAATTCAAATATAAAGAATTATACAATTTTTAGGTGAATCACTTTCATGTTTTAATTATCGAGCATGGGGAAAGGGACAACCATCACATTCAAAGGGATGTGTCACTCTTGTACAACAATTAGAATTTGGACCTTTTTGGAATGTTGTTCCTTGTAATAGCGTATTATCTTTCATCTGCGAAATTTCGCCAATGTATAAATATTTATATAGCTAAAAGATCCCAAATTTTTAAATAAATAACTGTAATTTAATTATTAATTAATTATATGTGTAAAACCTATAAATATATAGAATTAAACATATTGTTTATGAAAAAATATTTGAAATAGATATTATAACAATAAAGTAAAAAAATAAAATTTTAATTATTAATTTATTTATAACATTCGGAATTTTAATATAAATATGAATATAAAATATAGAAAAGAAAAAAAAATATATTGTAACATTTAATAAATAAAATATTAAAGCATATAATGAAAAGGATAAGTTGATACATTAAAGATACAAATATCAATTATGTACAGAAGTTTAATATGTGATTACAGGTATGTTTATCACCATTAGCAGAAAAAAAATTTATCTAATAAATTATTTACATTCAAATTGCTCTGGATATGTGATCAAAACGGAAAAATATAATTCTCTTTGTTGAATTATATACAAGTATACAATTCTAGAACTATATATATATATCTTTAAAAATTGTGCTTTTTTAAATTGTTTACTTATCATCTATCACATGCTTTCTAAATTGTTTACTTAATACTTAAAACCAGCAACTAAGCTGTATAAATACCTTATTTATGGTTTTCAGTAATAATAATAATAATAATAATAATAATAATAATAATAATAATAATAAT